GTTCGCGCGAGAGAACGTGTCTAATCGGGCGAAACTGCGCAACGTGGCCGTTGAGAACTGCGCAACGCAGGGTTGACTCTGTCACAAACTGCGTTTTCGTAAGTCTGTTCCTACTTGGAAATTGAATCTTTGCGTAAACTCTGTCAGTTGTCTCCACGTACGCCTTTGGATGAACCTGATGGCGCTGGTTGATGCCTCTTAACTCTTCACGAGTTGATCTTCACTGCTGGTCTGGTGGTCTCGAGAACCGGACTGTATTACGGTAGGTGGCCCACCTTTGGATTACGTGATGAGTTCTTTGGTCTCGAACTTCAGTAGGGTTGCTAGACATTTGGTCGGGTAGTCATAAATTGTTTCGACCCTTTCAGGCTCTGAAGAAGGCGATTCCGCCGAAACGTAAGCCTAATAAAGGTCATTATCAACCTCGTGAAGAGTTAAGAAGTCAACCAGCGTCTGTCAGTTGCCTCTTGTAGTGATCACAACAGACGTATTAATTGCGGAAAGGAGTGCAAGCCGTGAACGCGTGGCAGATTTTTTTGAGAGTGGAGCTTTATTTGTTTCAGTTGTTTTTTATTTGCACTTTTACCATAAATTATTAATCTACCGTAAATACATATGTGTAAAGAAATAGAAAATCCACTATGTTGTTAGTTTCAAGGAAATGTTGCTTCTAATAGATTGAAAGGCTGGTAGGAAGGATAGAAATAGGGGGCGCAGACAAGCAGTCGAGCTTGGCGGCAAGTAAAAAGAGGTGCAGCAGTCGAAGGAGGTACTGTAGGTGCTGGTTAGTGTAAGATTTAATGTTCATCTTTATAAAAGTATTCAAAATTGTAATAAAGCGTTCAATTACCCAAATATGAGGTATTGGTGCGTTCAATAAAATCCATGACTTATCTGTCGCGTGGCAGAAGTACGGTACGAAATTTGGCGCTGGATGTGCAACTCAAACTGGTGCATCGACCGAGAAGGGTTCTCTTTTCGAATACGAAGATAAAGCAAAAAAGAAGGAAGAAGGGATATCAGACAGCAGAGGTGGCGCCAAGTTTGCGAGCTCAAAACTCGTATCAACGGCACCACAGGCTATCTACGTTGGTCTCCATCTTGAGGAATACGGTGTTGTCTGCGTCTCGCTTTTCCGCAGTGGTCTTTCTCTTCGTCCTCAATGAAAAGGCTGTTGAAATTCGCATTCTTTCGCCTTACCATTCTTTTTTTTGTCTCAGCGTCCAGCATCTGTCTGTACATAAATATATGTCTAACAGTATGTTCCATGGGTCTACCGCATAGAAAAGCGAGCCTCATTTTCAGTGTCTCCGGGCGATTTTTATGACCGTATCAGTTTGAATCTCGAAATGTGTAGTTGAATCAGTAGTGAAACCAGGTCAAAAACATTATTTTATTCTTGTAAAACCAAAAAGACAGGCAAAATAGTGCATAGAGTTGGAAAAATCATTTTATAATAGATACCCGAAAACTCCTGGGAAACAGAGAAAATCTTAGCGTAAAGTAATTAGAAAGAAAACAGAGTTATGCAAATATGAGGTCATGGTGGGAAAAATTCACCTACATACATACAAGGAAATGGAAAGATAGAAATATAACGTAATCTAAACGTATTTCATGAGAAAAGTTAGCTACATCGTGTTAACAAATTGAACTCTTAAAACTTAAAGCGGAACACTTCACCTAAGTTCACAAACAGAGAAAGTCGTCGATAAAATGAAGTTAAAACAGAGAAGTGAAATTGGGGAAAGCGATGATTTGAGTGGTGTCGAAAAGCGTCGTCCTCGGCAAGTGTTGGGTCAATTTATCCGTAATTTTTCAACTGGCATCGGTATTTTTGATGAAAAGTCTAGAAGGTCTGACGCTCAGTTCGGGTTCATTGTGGGGAAACATTGAAAATAGTGAGCACATTATTCTGGGTGAGTTTAGAGTAGAATAGATGGGTGCTAAATGGTGCGCTAGATGCGAAATAGCAGAGAAGTCCTTCGAAAACCCGGCGGAATGGGACCTATAAGTGGTCCGTTTCTTTTGGGCAGGTTTATCGCTTAGAAGCGACCGTTGGTCAAGGTAAGACCCCTTAGGAACACACAACATGACAATGATTACAGCATACGGCAGTTTGACACCCAACATATTTCAAGATCAAAATCGAAATAGTTATCATAAGCGACATCGCAAAACCTTCTGTGGCGGGCGGTTTTTTGAAGGATGATTGTTTTTAGGTTAGAGGGCCTCGGGTTCACTGCAGCCGCGCAACGACTCGCACACGAAAAGTGCTTCGCTGCGCCTCCCTTTGCGCTCAGCTACCAACTTCCCAGGCAGGGTCGGTCCTATCGTTGTTACTTTTCTGAAAAATTTTTACGACCCCCCTCCCCCAAGGTGGATTTGATACGACCCCCTTTTCGACACCTCGACCACCATCATCGTCTCTATAGTACTTAATTCTGATACCACTCAACTCACCAAACTCCGCCCACTTTTTACCTATACTCCCACTACTTCCTTTTCTAGGGAGGGTATATACGCCCGAAACGGCAAATTTTTATCCTGCGCCCCTCCACTCGCCCAGCCTACTACCCACGAAATCATAGTTTCACCTCAATCCCACACGTGATTTCAAGCGACTATAGTGGGTACGACCCCCCTCCAAGCTAAACGAAGTAGGACCCCCCCCAAGCTCAACGCAAGTACGACCCCGCTCCAAGCTAACCAGCACGACCCCCCCTCCAGGCTAAACCAAGTAGACCCCCCCCCGTTTTGGTCTTGTACCAACGTCGGGTTGACCCTGCTTCCGAGGCATTATGCTCCCCCGCGGTGGGGCACCCATGTTATCATCACCTGCTCCCTTCATCAAAAAGCGATTAGCGGTAGAGGGGGCGGAAAAATAGCATGTACCCATAACGAAGCAGTTTGGGGCAGTGGCATGATCGGCAGAGCCGTAGATAAATTGGCACCACCTGCTTTGTTGGTGATTTGCGGGCGAGCTGTGCTGCCTACAGCGACACAATGGAGCAACTGGTCACGCATGGTTTGGCAGTGTCGAACAACGCGCTGTGGTGACGTCGTAAATGTCCGCGTGCCCGAATTTAAGTACTGCTCGTCGATGAGCTCGAAATCGAACAGCCAGCAAGGAAGGTGTTTTGCGTCTTACGGATTGCTTCTGCTTTTGGCCACTGACGTCCGCAATGAGCTTCGCCACATTCACTGCCATCCCTTTAAAACCTATCATAATCGCTGCGTTCAAGTAAAAATAATGCCAGGGGCATGATAGGTGCAGCTAAGACATTGAGACTATTTTGACCAAATGGTGTGATATGGAAATATAAACCAAATATCCCTTAGCCATGCTTTGCCATATTACCTCGAAGTTCCAAAACTGTTCTGTCCAAAAATAATTTTTGGCCCACGCCCTCTGCTAAACAGCGTCCGAATGCTTTCGGACAATTTTTTTTCCAGAAATGAGTTAAACTTAGGCACTGAACCTTCAAAACTGTGCTACTAGAAAAAGCTTTTCATCAGAAAAGGCCTGATCCTGTCGTGGACGACGCCTTAAAGAACCATATCTCTCTTACGAAAACAGAAGGTAGTAGTGCATAGTTTTTGCTTTACCTTCCTGCAGCCATTTGTGGTCAATCGGATTGTACAGCCGATAATCTCTAAGGAATTCAGAGATTCAAAATTTCTTCATCAAATGAACTTCCTCGTCATGTTCATGATACGATGGAAGCCCTGCTTGATTCGAGACGTGTGCAGGTGAGGACGAGGAGATTTGATTACCCGCCTTCCTTCGAGCGCGGCGAGGATGGCGGAGTCGAACATCTGCAATTACTGGTGGAGTAGCTCGTCTTATCGGTAAAGCGAGCAATTTTTGAGCGAACCGAGCCTCGATGTGATAGGAATTTTCATGAAGAGCGCCATCGCATGATACGGGGGCATCTTCCAGGAGTAGACCTAGGAGGGGGTAGGAACTTCTGTAGAAATGGAACTCGCTCACTTACCCTACAGTCTCTCCTCATCTGCCAAAGGCGCAGTCGCCTTTTTGAGAAGATGTTCTACGCGATAGAAAACTTGCCACCGCAATGCCCCCGTATCTTGCGATAGCGCCTTACATGTAGTGTGTCCAAACTCGTGAACGAATTAGATTCTCGAATTTGCTCTTGGTGTTTTCGAAGCTTACTAGTGCTTGAGGACACGTACCTGCTTCAAATTATGCTGCGTAAGGGCGGAACACTCGAAGAACTCGGCACCGATTTGCGAGGCGAGTTGTCGCCCTTTAGCTGTCGAGACGGTATCCTTGGAGGTTTGCCATCGTAGGTCAACCTGCGTCCCGACCAGCAGCACTAAATCGAGCTTTGCATACCCTAGCATGGCTTCTACACCTAGCAACCACAACCAGGATTTTCACCAATCTCACCTTGCGCCACAGGATTCCCACGATTTATCTCTGGAAGCCAATGAGCGGAAATTTCAGCGAATGATTGCGGATCAACGACCGAATAGACGATGACGAACACGTCGGCATCCGGATATGAAAGTGGGCGGAGCGTATCGAAAGACGACTGAAGATAAATAGCTATTAATAGCAAAAACTTCAGCAAATGGGTCATTTGAAAAAAAGGAAAGATGAGAAAAATCATAGAAAGGACCGCAGCCATGACTGCACCTGTGAAGGTGTCGATGTGATAATGAAATTGGATCAAGCCAGCTAACCTTGCTGTCTCGCAACCGAAAACCTCAATGCACTACTTGGGCCAACAAGCGAAAGAGAACAGCTATGAAGACTTAGAAACAATAACAGAAATTTTTCTATTCTACCCTACCGTACCTCCAGTAACATTGCTTTAAAAAGCCGCGAGGGATAAGGGCCGATATTTCCGTGTTTTTTTTGAATTGGTCACTGTTCATTTTTTGGGCGCTATCGCAATATACGGGGGCATTATGATGGTAATGCATTTGAAACCGCGTAAAACATGTCGTTTTTGCTAAAAACAGGATAAGCCTTAGGCGGGGGGGGGAGACTCCAAGTGTGTGAGCCACTTTCATTTCCCTCCTGCCCCCCCTATAGACTTAGTCCTGAAGAATGCCCCCGTATATTGCGATAGCGCCCATTTTTGTACAAGTAAAACTATACCATTAGAATAAGCTCTTCGAGTTCTATAAGAGTGGCTTTTGAATTCCATAGAACTTTATTTTGACAACGTACATAAGACGACTCATTAGCGAACGTCGCTATAATCATAACCGGAAGTGAACAGGTTGATTGTAGCAAGTATTTATGCTTCTACCCCCCCCCTTCAAAAAACGAGAAGAGCGTCGGGTGCAGACCATACACCACAAGTGACGACGGCCTCCACAAAATGTAAATGTTTTCTGCCAATGAAATGATTAGCCTGTTGCAGTTGTATTCTATCAGTTGTCACTAATTACAACTATCATTTACCAAAAATCAGCTATCACTATGAACTACTAACCAGATTTACTTGGAGGCCGTCGTCACTTGTGGTGTATGGTCTGCACCCGACGCTCTTCTCGTTTTTGAAACGGAGGGTACCTATGTTCCGCAGGTGAAAATGTAGTTTGAGGGGGCCACTCATAATATCTAATCGAACTGACAATATCTAATCGAAGTGAAGCTGTGGATGAGCCGTTTCAAGTTTTTTCCGCGAAATGCCTGCATTAGAGTCATACAAGTATGAAAACCATAGGATAGTAAAACTTACCATTAGGAAAGGTGTAGCCCAACGGACAATTTGGACAGGGGTGCTATTTATTTATTTATTGATCACTTATTTATTTATTTATTCGGAGGAAAAAGTCGCTTTCTTCTCTTTCATACTGAGATCTCTCTCGATTACGCTTCTTCTGTCTACGCTGTATTCTGTGTTGAATAGGGCACCTAATTGGATAAATACAAATATGTGAATAAATAGGTAAACCAGCAAGTAAATAAATAAATAAATAGATAAACAAATAAAAATGAATAAATAAAAAGCGAATAAATGAAGAAATAAAAAGAAATGATAAAATAAATAAATAAATGAATAAATGGTAAATAAATAAATAAATAACAAATAGATAAATAAACGACCCCAGGGCTCTAGGCAGGCCGGCTCCGCTGTAATATTCGACAATTATGTTATCATAGCTCCCCAGCACTCGCTAGCTTTTCATTATTTCAGCATAACGACGGTAAAAACAATCTATTACCCAATATTTGACAATATAAATCAAACAGGTTTAAAAAAATTTTATATCAGAATCGGACACTAACCACCACAGATATTCAAAAAATAATCGCAGCAAATCAGGGTTTCCAAATAGGGCCCTCCGCGCATATTCATAGATGCTGCTCGGATTTATTTAAACACCTATTATGTGTTCGTTGACATTGGTGTGACAAACAGAAAGCTGTCATCGATGGTTCTGCGGCTTTGTCCGACGATATTCCTTGGATTCAAGACACTTTTGACCGCCCTTTCGATCGGATCAGTCCTCCACATAGCACCCGAAACTGAACTATGGCCTACTTCCTTCTCACAGCAGTACTTTTGCAGCTTCTCAGTTAGCGCCTCCTGAGTGAATATCTTTTTTACATGATTGTTTATGGTTTTCCTATCAGAGTTAATTGAACTTGCATTCATGGCAAGATAATCGATCGTACAAGAATTTTAGGCGCTCACCTTTTGGCGCTAACGTTTGTAATGGATGTTTTACAGCGCTAATAGCAATCATAATAACGCTTGAAAATTATTAGAATTAGCGGAGAATGGCGCGGTGCAGTAAGGAGGGGCGGGCACATGTTTTGCGGAGATTCCAGCACTAGCGAGCATTCCTCGCACAAGTCTGCCGCCTTGGACTAAGCCTTAGGAAGCGCCTAATAAGGAGAGTTGATGTAGGAATATGTTCCGAACATTCAGGTAATCAATTTTTCATCGGACACTGAAGCGGAACAATGGTTTGGAAATGCGGGAGGGGAATTGGGCGCTGAACTGATGTCAACTTCGAAAACGAAGGGCGTCGTGGGCTGTTTCTTTGGCCTCAGTTAGCCACCTTCTCCCTACCACTCCCCTTCTACCCCGCCCCGCTTACCCTAGTTCACTCTGCTAAAAAGGTGCTACTTAAGAATGGCTGTGACCTGCGTCTAAATCAGATTATGAAAGAGCCCATGTGGGGGTTGTAGGTGATGGGATCGAATATTGGTGGTTGACTCCTCTGCTACCCATTAGGTGCATGAGGTTCGGGGGGTGGGTGGAGCAGGGGAGAATCGAGACACCTTTGAGGAAGGCTGGAAATTTTTCCAAAAAGTACGACCGCAACGTGGGCCCTGTTCTCACCCGGCGCTGCAGCCTAAATTCTGATCAAAGGTCCACAACGGTCGAAGTAGTCGTTTTTTGAAACACACCCCCCCCCCTCACTCGCCCACAGAATCTGTTCATCCAAGGTATTATCTCATTAACATAGCCTCGCTCTTAGCGCCATTATTCATTTGGCAGCCCAGATCGAGTTTGCGATAATCTGATAAGGACTGTACACTATCTCGAGAGATGAGATGATACAGCTGTGGTACGTAGTAATCGGTAGCAATCGTATAGAAATAATTACTGTAGCCAAGATGCGACAACTGTTCCAAAACTAGTTAGCACATTTCTTTATTCACATACCTCACACGTTTGAATGACGTTTTTCAGCTCACACTATCCACGCTTTTTCTATCAAAGCAATACGACCGCCGTCGATGTTCAATCGGTGCCGATCAGCGCTCAACAAAAAATCGAAAACGACTTCTCGTACATCAAAGCGATTGGACCGCTGGCGAGAATCATCAAGAATTTCAGTGAGTTTTTCATTGTTTGTGCAGGGGCAACCGAAAAGATGAATGACAGGAATATCACCTGTTTACTTGTTTATTTGTTTATTTATTTGGTTTGAAAAAAAAGAAAGGAGCGAGAAAAACGATTTGTCACAGTCAAGCGATGAATCGCTTTTTTATCGGCTTGAAAATTTGCCTCAGAAATAAGACCTGATTGAACTCACCGACACCGGCGCCAAGAAGGAGTCACTCTATTCCAGAAGAACTCGGAGTGCGACTCCCATCGCAACGATTTGAAAGAAACTAGCTGAAAATTATTAAAAAAAAGTGTTGAGCGGTTTTATTCTGATACCCGAAATTCCAGACAAATAGCTCCAAAACTCGTAATAACTTCGTATAGCATACATTATACGAAGGAGGCGCCTCCTTCATCCAAATACATTTCAGTAGTGACAAGGCCAGATAAATTGTGCACTCCCGTAGGAGGAGTGGAACTGCTACTTAGTGCAAACAGCGAAGAAGAACAACTAAAAAGAATGTGAGCCAAAAAACCCTCGAACGGGCTACCCATTTTTGCCATTAGGCCTTGGCATTTGACGAGCCAAATTTGGGCGCTGACCGTCCATCAACCTGAACGCTTTGCTCTGCTCATAGCCGCAACATGGCTAGAGTCCGACGGCGAGAGTCAGCAGTTGGTGTAGCCAGTCGTTGCGGCGGGCAGGAGCGACCATGAGCGCGATCCAGAGATGCTCAAAGAGGACGGCAGTAAGGCCTGTTGTAGGTCGTGACGCGAGCCCTTTAGCCGCTGAAGTTTCACTCCAGTGAGGCCCAGCATCCCATTATAGTAGGCACATTCCTCCTCTTCCTCCTGCACTCAGTTTATCGTACTACCTGCCTTTAGAATATGGGCAGACCTAATGGCACGGTGGCGATATTTTGGAGTGAGCAGCACAATTGGCGGAAGATTATGGCTGAGATGAAAAATAATGGTAAAAATAAAATCTCTGACAAAATAAAATGTAGTAGGTCTACGATAATTTTATATTTTATTTCATTTTTAACGCGCTCGGTGGTGCCAAACGAACGGAAGAAAACAAAAAAAACTCTGAAAATTCAGAAAGTTAATTGGCCGCAAAAATTGCACCGGTATGGTTACTTGTAGCACTCTTGCCCGATAATCGAGGGGCGAGTTTGAGTCCCGCCTGGGGCAAACGTTTTGTTTAGAACTGAGTATCCTTGAGAAAAGCGGGAAAAATACACGCTTTTCGATGCAGAGGCCTAAAGAAAGCCCCCTATCGGCAGTTTTTGGGGTCCGTTGCAAATTCATATGATCATTTGGGAGCTTTAAATCCCTGAGACTCCAGGTCGTCCGACGCGGTACTCGGTGCGGTTTCTAATCGCACGACTATAAAACATCGTTTATAGCCGATCATGAATCCAAAAAACTGCACATAACATCGTGATGTTTTCCCGCGACCAGCCCTTTTTCAAGATCGTTGCGGGAAGATTTTGCCAGAACTACGGCCCAATTCATGGCGAAGTGCAATGTGTTGGACGTCAACGTCAACATATTTTCTCTATAAGTAAATAATTGAATATGCTTGAATAAATAATCTCGCTGAAATAGGTGGTCCTAGGTAATTCATTATTTGTTTGGCTTTGTTTACACTTACCACTGTTTACTACAGATCAAAATGAATAATGAATGACTTAAATTAGAGAAAGAAAAGTAGAAATTAAACGTAAGCG